CGACGGGACGACGCTGAAGGACAGGATGTCTGGCCTGATGGAGTCAATCGCGAAGGACATCACCACCTGCAGGAGCGCCTGCGACGTTTATATGAAAAAGAGTTTCTCGGTGGGCAATTCCTTCCATCAGTCGCCGCGCGTGCTGAAAGACTCCCTTCGCAGCCAAAACTGTCAAGTCGAAGATCTACGAGAGCCGACTCGCTGGCTACGTCATGAATTTCGCCAATGACAAGAAGGAGATCGGGTTTGCGCTCAAAGTGCACACGGCGCTGGGTGTCGACGCGGCGAACAAGAAGCTCGACGGGCAGGACGAGCACCTCAAGAACATCGAGGGCAAGATCGAGGCGCTCTTCCGCAAGCTCGACACGCCGCGCGAGCGCGAGGTACAGAAGTTCATCGACAACAAGGGTGGCGCCATAACGAGGCGACGCTGCAGGAGCTCGTGCTCAAGAGCGGGGAGAGCCTCGCAGACATGGACCCCACGCATTCTGGGAACGGGGACCTCGTGAGCGCGAAGAAGATGCTGAATCGGGAGCTGGCAGAGGACGTGGACGACGTGTTTAAGAAGAATATGAAGCTCTTCGACCGCAAGATGGAGATGCAGAGCAAGCAAATGGCAGACGCGATCAGCTTGACCGGGGAGCACATCATCAACGTCCTCTCGGGTGGGGCGCACAAGAAGATCGTAGACGCGGTGCGTACCCTCCCCTCATTCACACAGCCCTTACTCATCGGGATGCTCCTAGGACTTACAAGCAATCTGGAAGGAGCAGGGCTGGAAGGGCAGCGTCAAAGCGCGGCACTTCGTCCTCGCTCTAAACGACTACTACACGGAGAAATTCACTGTCTTCGATACGGCCGTCGCTATTGCGGAGAGCAACGCTGGCTCCGCCCCGCCTTCACCCCTCATGTCCCCGACCTCGCCTGCGGTAGCGGACCCGGACTTGCCTGCGGGTGCGAAGCCCGAGGACGACCATTGGGCGCTCGCGTACATCAACATCGCGCACCTGCAGCCCATCCTTGAGGCTGTGGACGACGACGGGACGGGCTTCGTCAGCATCAAAGAGGCGAACGAGTTCGCGCTGTCGCGTCCGAAGGGCTGGAGCTACGCTCTCTTTCTCTTCGCTCCCATTGGTCCTGCATACTGATCTCGGTGCAGTCTCCTGAGCTGGGTCGCATTCTGGGCGGCGGGCTGGCACGCGTCGGTGACGTGGTACAAGAACCGCATCTACAACCTACTCTCGGCCATGATGCGGCTCACGCAGCGCGTCAAGGCGGGGAACGTCCAGGCGGCGGACACCTACTTCGCGGGCCCAACGATCCAGCGCGTGGAGCTGCTCCTGCGCTCGACGTGCTCTGCGCCGGGGAAGGTGTACGATGACGCGCGGCTCACGCGCATCACGGACGCGTTTCAAGAGATGGAGGAGAAGAAGCTGCTCGCGGAGCTCGAGGGGCTCGCGTATGAGCTCGACGACACGGCGACGCTGCGTCTCATTACGGGGCCGCGACGGATTGAGCGAGTGAGTAGGCTGCGCATCTTGAATCCTTCGCGATGCTGATAAGACGTCTCAGTATGTCTACCCGCTGATATACCGCCTGCTCAAGCGCCATTTCGATATCATGCGACTCGCATGTGTCCACGTCTTGCACGAGACGGAGTTCGAGGTTATGAGTGGCTCTCTCGCCACCATATTCAAGGCTGTAGATGAGCGCACGGGGAACCTTAAAGGTGTGTATCACCTGCGCGGAACATAATCCTCGCGCTGACGTGTGCGCGCGCAGCGATCTTCAAGTCGACTGCGATAAATGTGAAAGAGCACCTTGGCCATTTCGCGTTCGGGATGGTGCGAGCCCTGCTATGCTCATTGCGATAACCTCCTGCTGACTCCACCCCAGTTCCAATTAGCATACGGCGGCCACCAGCGCGACCCCAAGAACAACACTATATACACCTTCGATGAGGAGGATGGCTTCGAAACCGATGAGGACGAAGACCTCGGTCCGGACTCGGACAACAACGAGCCGAGCACGAAGGCCATACTTGCGTGGATGGACCCTAATATACTACATCACAAGCCAGAGAACGAGCCCAGCGGCGTCTACAATTTCGAGAAGCTGCACCCGCCGCTAGCGACCTCCGCGGATCCGCTCGACGGCGCGTGGATCGGGCAACTGCTTGTCGACGGCGAGTCCTTTGATGAGGGCGCGATATCGCTGTTGCTTACGCGCGCGGGGGACAAACTCTCTGGCGGTGCGGAAAGCTGGATGGACCTTCTCTCGTTCGCGGGGATGGTTGACGACTCGGAGGGGCACAAGGTCGTGATTACGATCGATTGGCCGGACGGCTATGGGGTGAGCAAACACGCCGTACCTGCCCAACCCTCGCTCCAACCTCTAACCGCAAAAACCTTGACCAGGTTGTGTGTACTGGAAAATATGACCCAGAGACGGACACCATTACAGGCTTGTGCGAGGATAAGGAGGACGATGACTCCTCCTCCTCCGGGAGCGACACCGATAGCGACGACGATTCGAGTGATGAGAGCGAGAGCGGCTCCGAGTCTGGCTCAGAGTCCGACGACAACGAAGGAGGGGAGACTGCGGGCAAAAAAACAGACGCCGTCAAGGACTCAGAAGGGAAGGTCGAGGGGTCGGCGCCTACTGTAAAGAAGTCAGACGACGCATCGAGTGATGGAAGTTACGAGGAGGTATTTTCCTTTATTTTCCGTCGGACCCCTTCCGCCGTTTTTCGCTTTAGATATACCGATGCCGAATTCGCCAAAAATCACGCGCGCGCTCGATGGGGATTCGCCATTGCTGCAATGATCGACCAGGTTCGGCAAAGGCGTTTCTCGTGGCCGTACCTCAAGAAACGGTTCGCGGAGCGCAAAAACTTTATCAAGTTGACGAAGCGTCAAACCATCGTCGAGCGAAAGCTCACGCCGTGGACCCCAATGAGTAGCAACGATTCTACCCAACTGCAAACTCTCAGAGATGCCCTCCAGCCGAGTGATGCTCGATTCTACCACTCGGTGGCGCTCTTTGAATTGCAGAAGGTCGTGAACTAGTACGCACGTCCTCGCTACATCCGGGTGTGCCTTGCTAACGCGTCTTAGTGGGCAGAAGTGTGATTCTTGCACACACCGCATCACGGATGTACAGCTGTTCTGTATCCACATCAGACTTTCTACAGATTTCTTGAACTCACTTGAATGTCCTTGATCTTGCTTGAATTGGGTAATCAAGTGCGCAAGCTACAAGCAATCAAGCCAGGTTCGAATCCCGCTCAAGTAAAAAAAAGTTTTTTTCTGTAAAGTGTACCGTTGTTTTCACGCAAATTGGAGCAACTTTTTTTGCCAAAAATATTGGGTTCAGGCGGAAAAGCACATTCAAGGGCATTCCAGTGCCAAGAAATCTGTGAAAAGGCTGATGCAATGCATGGACGACCAGTTTCGTGAATGCATTAATTTGTGTTCCGAGTGCCTCGACCAAACGCCAACACGAGATACTTTCGTCCACGTTCGCTCCCACCTTCTGATCAAGACCTTCCGCCGTATTCACGATGGTGATCTGGCATGGATTGTTCCTGAAGCCCGACGGGTCGCGGCACGCGTCAAGAAGTCCCTCGAAGATGCCAAATCTCTCTTGTCCCGGCTCGAGGAGAAGAAGGGCAGCGGTCATTCCAAGAAGCGCAAAGCTGCGGCGAAGCTCTGCTGCTGCTGTGGAAAGCCTGTTTCGTGCCCATTCTGGGTCTGCATTTACTGTGGTGCGTCACACTCCTTGACTTTTAATCTCGCACTCCTTCATCTGACTTGTTGTCCGCAGTCGAGGACACCTACATCTGCGTCGATTGTGATACCAAGCGACTCAAGCCCCTCCCGAACAACGAAGACTCTCACCTGCTCACTCACTCACTCGTCGAGATCTTCAACAGCGCGCCCATTTCGGAGCCATTGACAACCGACTCGAAACTTGCCGAACTAGAAAGCAAAGTGCTATCGCTCGACTCACGGATGGCGGCACTGGAGGAGAAGCTGGAGAGTCGGTTCACTTCGTTGGAAACTGTTCTCACTGGTATCGCGGAGAAACTCTCATCGCGCAGTACAGCATAGGTAAATTGTCGTATCTCACTGTGGGTTTTGTCGATACAAACCGATTTCATTTCATCCGACTTCGGAACGGCCGAACGGCAGAGCGTTGCCGTCGCAATGCCGACAAAGCAAAATGATTGGCTCAGTTTCCGCCGAACCCTGAAGCCTGAGCGCCAGACATTCAGAGTTCGACCTCAACTGGCCGCGAATGTAGGCATTCGCAACAATCTTGAACCATCATCCAAACTGAGAGTCGAAATTCATCCCTCGAAAGCGATCCGATCGATCAGGTTATTTATTCCAATTCCTCAAACGACACCTCCCCCGCTTGACCATGTTAATTCTCGATCTATGCAGTAAGTTGTGTTCATCGGTGTCTTCTGTGGACTAATGGTTTCGATTGTTGCAAGAGTTTGTTTTCATGCTTTCGGCGATTCAGTAGTGCATCATTCCCTGGTGGGCATTCGCTCTGACTCAGAATCGGTGACATGAAGCATACGAGTACACCTCTACTTGTCAGCCATATTGGGTTCTTTTCATCTTGACACTCTATCAGCATATAGCGACTTTCTACATTATGTCGTTCTTTGCCGTGATAATTGGCGCGCTGTGGATTCAATGAACGCGAACACTGTCACCCTTACTACTCCGAGCTGTTACTGCAGCAGACTTCAAGGAAGTTGAAAAGGACATCACGGGAGTTGCGAAGATCGAACCCCATGGCTTCTCAAAATATAATTCGATGGGAACGCGAACGCGAACATAAGACGCTCCGAATAAATACTAGAATCCTTCAGGCTCCTCATTATCAACTCTTGGCCAGAGGAACAAACAAAGGGATCAGGAGGTAGACTGAGGTAGTTCAAGGCGTTGTCGAAGGACCCTGCGAGAAAGCCTAATAATTCAATCAGCACCGTAGCACAGCTGGAAGTGCGCCGGTCTCATAAAATTTGAGGAATCCGGAGGCCGCTTGATCGAAACAAGCCGTTGCTATTACTTTTTCATCGTTGGACAAGAAAAGGGAATGACTCGACTCTGACTCGAATGTCGAGTCATACTTACGTTGTAAGTATCCGTAATTTTTCCACGGTTCGGCTTTTCTTTCCCGCTCCCTTGTTGAATCCGTCCACGTGTGCGGGCCGCTGCCGTCGGGCCATCACAAACATAACCGTCTCTCGGCGTCTTGAATCTTCTTTATACCTTCCGCACTTCCGCGCTTCCGCGCTTCCACCGAGGCCCCATTGTTCCCCGCTACGTTCAAACTTGAAATCTGGCAACCGCCGGTCACTTCCGAACGGGGTCTGTTTGTTCGACTGTCAGCTCGGCTGTATGAACACACACACCGTTTCTTGATCACCGGTGGCATATAAAAGCGGAGCATTTTTTTGGCTGTTCTCCCTGTCCACTATGTGCGGTCTTATCGCTGTTTTCCATCCGGACGAGGTCGTTAGACCAGCAACCAATACTCTCAAGAGCCAACTTGAAGCCTCGCTCGAGTTGATCAAGCACCGTGGTCCCGACTCTCGGGGAATATACATCTCGCCTAATGTCCAAGTTGGTCTGTAACGTCCCTTTCTTCACTCTCGCCCTCAATAAACTCCGTTTTGTACAGGACTGGGCCACGCCCGGCTATCGATAATTGACCTTGTGACTGGTCAACAACCGATGTCAGATGAAGACGAGCTTATTCATTGCGTGGTCAACGGGGAACTCTACGACCACGAGCGCATTCGGACCGAACTACGGCAGCAGGGTCATCGATTCAAAACGAAGTCGGATTCAGAGCTTGTTGTGCAACTGTCAGTGCCCATCTTCCCATTTCTGTTCGATCTAATCCAGGCTTAGATACAAGCGCGACGGAGTCAATTTACTCTTTCACTTGCGTGGAGAATTCGCGTTCGTGCTTTACGATGCGAAACGACGACTCTTGTTCGTGGCGCGCGACCGATTTGGGATCAAGCCTCTTTACTACACGGTGTCCAACGGTCGCATTATGTTTGCAAGCGAAATAAAGGCTTTTATGGGTCTTGGATGGCAGGCTGCGTGGGACGTCGAAAGCATCGCGCAGAGCGGCGAGTGCTGCGACGATCGTACAGTATTCCGGGGAGTCAAGAAGGTACTCCAGGCTACAATGGGAATCCTCGACACTAACCCCTCCTCCGCAGCTGGCGCCCGGGAATTTTGCGCTCTGCCGAGGCTCCGGCTACATGAAAGTGCAGGCCTACTGGGACCTCACGTATTCCGCAGCGACTGCTCCACCTACAACAACTGTCGACTCGATGATCGCCACTGTGCGCGAACACCTGGTTGAGTCCGTGCGCCTTCGCCTTCGCTCAGACGTGCCTCTCGCTGTATACCTCAGTGGTGGGCTTGACAGTTCCGCTGTTGCGGGCATAGCTACGCATCTGTTGCGTCAGAATGACCCAACCGCCCGGGTAAGCACATTCACCTTGGCATATCCAGGTACGCAAACGGTTTCTTTTTGCTATGGAACAGCTCTAAAGGCGGTAACAGGTGACCAGCAAGGAAACGACGAAGGACCGATGGCCACCAGGACTGCAGCTCATCTGGGTGCGGCTACCCACATGGTTAATGTTGACGAAGCGGCGCTGGTCAGCACACTGGAGGAATCTGTTTGGCATTCTGAGCAGCCCAACACTACATTTCACGGCGCCGGTAAGATCATTTTATCGAGGCATGTTCGAAACAGAGGTTTCAAGGTCAGTTTGTTCCATTACCAATTTCCAGTCGCATAACATCCCCACAGGTCGTCCTCTCTGGGGAAGGCTCTGACGAAATCTTTGGAGGCTACGGATTTTTACCAGTCGATTATCTGAGGGACCCAGACCCAGCGGCCCATGGACTAGGAATAGCCCTCCCATCCAACGAGGAGCGTTTCGCTCTGCTCGCAGAATACACAAAAACATCTGGCCTGCCTCAATTCGCCTCTAGTGGAACCGCTTTCGACACGGGCTCCTCCACAGAGTTGGTCTCGATCAAAACTCATCGTGCTTTGGGAGGCGTATTGAGGATAGCTGCCCCGGTTTTCAATCACAAAGTATGGGACTTCTGCGGGCCGCAGGACGTTCCGGGAAATTTCGCGGAGGCGGCGGATCCCATACTCCGAGAGTACTCCCTTTCGGGTCGCTATCATAGTCTCAACGTCGCGATGGTGAGCATAACTGGATATTATTCAGAATGAACTACTAACGGCTTGTCGATTGAAGTACATTACTGCAAAGGTACGATTATGACTTCTTGCGTGACACAAAGAATTTCCAACTCAACCTACTTACCGAACTATAGACGCTGTTGTCCCAAGTTATTCTGAACCAATCTGGCGATCGTCCGGACATGGCGAATTCAATCGAAAGTCGCCCCCCTTTTCTTGACCATCATTTGGTTGAATATGTCAATACACTTCCGCCGTGAGCCCAATTCCACCTCTTGCGCGCTACCATATATTGACGCCTCGCAGCTCGCTGAAAATTCGACCCATCCCTGGTGAGAAACCAGGCCAGTGGACCCTGACCGAAAAATGGATCCTACGTGAAGCCGTTAAACCGTTTGTCACCGAGGAAATATATCTCCGCAAGAAGGAACCGTACAACCCACCTCCCGCGAACAGTGCGAGCGCTGGGTCCGGGTTGATGCCACTGCAGGCCCATCTCAAGGCGCGTATTACGCAGACGAGCATCGATCGGCTTGGGTTCTTGGATTGGCTTAGTATTAAGGGTATGTTGGACGGATATCTGGCCTCGCCTACGTTCCCCACCCATGGCGCCATTGACGCAAGAGCGTCTGCACTCATGGGCGTCTTGAGCTTGATTGTGCTTCAAGAGCGCTTCAATGTTCCACCCGCCCAGTTGTAGAGCTTGCTATATAATCGAATAACGTACTCATCGACACAACTGGAACTGAATTCAATGATTGAATCCCATCATAGCGAACCGAACAAGCAGCATTCAAACTCAACAATCAGAACCCACATCATCCGAGTTATAACACTACGGGACTCAACACTGTTCGCTACTCCCCGCAGAGCGGCGCTGCGACTTCCAACTTTCAACATCGCCATCTAAAGTCTTTGCTCAAGCTTGCCCTCCTGAGGACTAGAACGTCGACGTGCACAGTGGCCAAAAGCTCCTACTTGCTTGGTAGCTTCGCGATTCTCCGCCGTTCGGAGCTTATTTGTTGGCTAGTTTGATAGCGCGTTGAACGGTCCAAGCATATTTGCTCTTCGCCGCTCCCTTTGACAACATCGCAATCCCGGGCTTACCCTCCTATGGACTAAGACATGTCATAGGCTGCGCGTGAACCGTGTTCTGCTGCCAGATCCACCTCGCATCGCCATTTGGAGCTTACTATTTTGCTGATTTGACTCATAATGGTCCAACGTTCCGCTGTCGCCCGACGGCTGGGAGGCGAATAAGTTCAACTAACCCCTACGCCGCTCATCAACATTCCTATTTAACCCGACACGAACAGCCGTTCAGCTCAGGCTCACCCCCATTCATCCTACTACTGCGTCTATGATGTTCTCCTTTCACCTCATCGCTTTCGTTTGCGCGGCGCTTGCTGCGGGTAATAACGTAGTTGCTACAGGAGCCCAGAGTATCTTGCAGACACCGACTGGCTGTCCGGCGGACGTAAATCACTTCAAGAATGAATTACTATTTTGGCTCATGCATGTTCAGGATGTCTGTTCCTGCACCGGCTCTTGGTATGGTTGCGATGGCCTTTTGGATGACTCCAAGTACATATGGCAATATTTCAACCAACTGTTCGCACCCTGTAACTGCCGTACAGGTATCCCTGCGCCGAAGCTACGTTTACCGCTGGAGCCTGCACCGCCGTACCCAGTGTCCTGGTCAGTAAGATGAGCTCTGTCCGCTTCCCCACCGGCTGGGTGTGCACCTTCTACAAGTGAGAACCCTCATTCCTTGGTATCTCATACTTGACACGGGATACAGTGGACCCAGCTGCGACTATGATCAGGCTACGAACACTTGCACTCTCGTTGCGCCGGGTTCGCCCGGACTGTGGAAGCAAGGGTTCAACGACCAAGCCAAGTTTTTCAAGTGCGTGCGTCGCTGATGCATTGTAAGTTCCTTCCGGGAAAAAATGCGATATGCTCCCTGATCCCTTCGTGCAGCTCCTCGAGACTCGAGAGACTACCCTGGTTCAACCTGGGTTAGTATTGATAGGGTCCTGTGTCGTTGGCGTGCTGCTGTTTGTTATATCAAGCTCAACCTTGCCAGTAGCATAGTTTTCGTTGTCTATCGTGTACGTTGCCCCACGAATTGAACCAACGCTATTCAGTGAGTGGTCTCCCAAGTTGCCTCGTCAGTCTCCGCTGGACAGGGATGGGGACCCAGGGCGAAGGAGGATTTCAAGTTGCATGACGGATCTAGATCCTGTTTTTACATCGTCGACGTCGCCTCGACTCTGCACCAATCGTCCCTCTCTTCCTCGTATGCGCAGGACCAGATGACGACCGCGAGAGGAGAAGAGCATTGATACGCACCTCTTCCCAATTGCTCTCGACCAGTATTAATTCACGTAGGTACCTATCTTGCGGAATGGACGACTCGCCTTACCTTGGCTGGGATACCATAATACCTGCGAAGTTCAACTTTTAATTCATAACGCATTACTCCAAGCATGCACCGTTTACCTGGTTTTATATCCTACAGATAGCTCTATATGATCTCCCTCAATATTACGTACTTTCAGGGAGAGGTTATGGTCGTGGCTGCATATATAGCCAACCGGAGTTGCAGCGTGGTTCCACCTCCATTTTGGGTTGGACGTCTGAAAGATGGTTTACAATCCATTAGTTTTGTAATGAAGTGCGATGACTCTCCATGTTACAGAAATGGAAAGCTTCCGAATTCGGGTTGAGGGCACTTTTGAACCGTGGGAATTTCGGTGGACTGGCTGGGTCGGCAAGTGCTTCATCGAAATCACGACCCTGAAATCAACGTACGTAT